TGTCCGAAATGGAAAGCAATAATGATATAATCTTCGTCCCTTTTCATCATGAAAAACTCTCTTTGCAATAGGAGCTCACTCGGGCCGGTTGAAGGAAACGACTAAATTGTTGGCAAGCTGCTTCACGAAGTAACGCCGAAGATGATACACGTGTGTTAATGGAATTTTTTTTTTTGTAATGTCTTTTCTCGATTCCGATCAAGCTAGGTGTGTCAACCGTGTTTATTGCAACAAAGCAGGTAAGCAATATATCATTATCCTTCTACAACTCCGACCAAACTATATTACAGAGAAAGAGAGTTTATCGTGGTAGTAGTAGCAAGCGTTTTGTCATTATCGTTGGTTGCTTTATGTGTTTGAATTCGCTGGTCTGAAGCTTAGAAATTGTTTGGAATTCTCACTGGTAGGGTAGAGAACTAGTTCGGCCTAACCGCCCATTTTGGGCCTAATGAGCAGAAAACTTCAAATAAATCCATAATTTCAGAGCTAACAAGTCAATTATGCGTTTGGTAGGATACGTTTCAATGGCATTTCAATACATTAGGCCGAGTTTAGAATCCGTAGGCCGAGTTTGGCGTCAAGAAGCAGTGTTAGACTTTTGATAATATATCAACGATTGGTTTCTCTTTATCAAATTTTACGGAAAGGTAAATAAATTTAAAAAGCCATCAGTAATAATAACATTCCGTTTGGTGCTAAACTGCGCTAGCTTAAGAAAGACTAAGTGCGGGTTGTGCTTAATAGGCCGGAAAACCCTATCATTTTGGATAAATGACATGATCTTGAATTTAACTAACTTTGTAAATCCTGATAAATTGCTGATATTTTGAGACCTCTCACTTCATTTTCAGTACAAAAAAAAAAGATTTTCAACCTGGAAGAAATATTCAGAATTCAAAATGCAATATTGGAGCTATCGGACTTATCATTTTTATTAATAGAATTTAAATATAGGTTATCAAAATAGATATTAAAATTGTGATTCCATGCCATTCTCGGTTATTTCCCGGTTGTTTACCCTGAATTCAAGAAAATCAACATTTAATTTTTTAACATGGATTTCAAGTGACTTTTTCTCTCAGCGTTTTTTTTTTCTCCTTAAAGTTCGTTTAAGCACCTTCTTCTTATTTTTTTTAACTATTCGTTTATTTGTTAGGTTCAAATGTCGTTAAACTTTACGGAGCCGAGGTCTATCAAAATACAATAATTCCTAGTTAAATTACATAATGTTTCTTTTTCTTATTTTCAATTTGCTCTAAATAGATGGCATCAATCCTCTTCTTGCTTTCCTCGATCAATGCACACCGTTTTTCAGGATCGTCAATATGCGAAAGATCTGGGATCGTATATGGACGCTGTGTATATCGACAAATATCACCACTCACAGAGATCAGGCTGCTATCACTTTCGCTTGAGTCATTTGCGTTCAATTTTTTGGTTGCATTGTTTGTGGTGTCCGAGTCGATTGATCGCTGGCGTTTCGTTTCGGTTTTGTTGTTTTGCTGTTGGTCTGCATTTGGTATCGATTTCGGGAGCGAGGGCCACTGCTTACTGTTGGCTGCGTTTGATGGAAGTTTGTGTGAGTTGTTGTTGTTCTTGTTCTTGCTGTTAACGTAGTTGTTGTTGGTGCTGCTACTGAGAGTATTGTCTTCGTTTGCTACTGCTGTTGCTACTGCTGTTACTGCTGCTGCTGCTGCTGCCACATCGGAGCAGCGTTGCTTTGGGTGAGATTTGCGCTCACAATTGCGACATGTTTTTACTTGGTTTGGGTATGATACCAGTGTAATTTCGCCATCCACGGTGATGAATGACGGGATGGGAAGAATAAGTCTCATTTTTAAAACACGCACTCCATTGCTGAAGCCTGGAAAATAACTCTTCCAAACCTCACCGCGAATTGCTATCACCTCTCCATACTGGCGCATATATTCGATGATAACCACATTTTCCATGTCATCTGGGAGATCATGCAAACGTACGTCGACAACGCTGCTTTCGGCATAAATTGGAATCGAGATCTGTTTTTCTCTCATACTCCATAAAATGCTTCAGGTGATGAGCTGAAGCGATTCTTCTTGCTACTTCTTTACTTTGCATACCCAGGTATACAACGTTTTTCACATTGAGTGGCTGGATGCATTTCACTTGTGACATATCAAGTTGCAGTTCACTTTCTAAAAATCGTTTGATTTCCGAAATACACGGCCGCTTAGGCAGAATGGATGAATCCAAAACGACACAGTTTTCTCGCAAAGCCCGCATGGCTATGGGCAACAAAACTCACGCGCGTCACACAAAAGAAGTTCGAAAATGGTATCATACGTCTGATCGGTTAAGGAGATGGATAGCAACTGACCTTCTTCTTAGACATTGTTAATTTAATGCAAAATAAGTGACCATATTTTAATGTAAAAGATCTAAATTTCCGAAGAAAATTCCGCTTAGTTCAGATTTTTAAAGCTAACTGATATTACCAATTAAGAGAGTCAGCTGCAATGTTAATTTTTTTCTTTGAATTGACAATAATTTCGGACGATAACAATCAACCGTCAAGACACCAAAGACGAGTGTCAATCTGTCAATTCTGCTAAAAGGGCGTTGATACATGACAATATTAAAAAATAAAACAAGCCCCATTTGCTTCAGAATATTAAGATCCATGTATTAGGTACCGTAAAACCGGGTATCTTTGATAATGCGGGTAACTTTGATAGTATAATATAAAGATTAAATTTATTCGCTGCGCTTTTTCTAAATTAGAAATATTAGTTCCATATTGTAGCTTAGGGTATTTCTGTTGATATCGTATGTACTTTTTATATAGAATGTGTTACATATTTTACAAACATATTAAAAAACCATTTTCGTATTTTTCGCCGGTTTGAAAAAGCACTCAAACAATCATTTATGAAATCTATTTCCGATATAGCCATACCAAATTCAATGTTGTATTTTTATTGCCTATCCTGTTTTCTGATTATATACTCATTCAAAGTTCCATATTTAAAGATCTGAAAAACTTGAGTTTCAAGATTTTTTTTCTAGATTCATCGAGCATTATCAAAGTAACCCCAAATCAAAATACTGATGTTCGGTCACACAACTTAAAAAAATAGTGCAAATGCTTTAATTTCCGTTAAACAAATAACTAGGGAATTAACTCCTGGATCCTCAGTACTTGTTTTAAAAATATAAAATTTAAAAAATATTCATTGCTGCAAAAAACATTTAGAATATACTTTAAAAAATTATCAATTGTACCCCGTTTTTCGGTATTTCAAAATACGCTACGAGTGGGGGAGGGGGAATCTCTTAGGGTCTCATCAATTTACTTTGATGCATTTTCGAAAATTCAAATGCAGTTTTCTTCGACGCATCATTTCAGATTGCAAAAAGCTCGCGTCATTTTATTCTTTTTGCTATTTTACACAAAATGACGCGAGCTTTTTGCAATCTAAAATGATGCGTCGAAGAAAACTGCATTTGAATTTTTCGAAAATGCATCAAAGTAAATTGAACCTTGAGGAAAAACATTTAAAAATTGGGCAGGAACTGATCTGCGCTTGTTTGATGACTTAACACTCCGAACACGATGCCTCCGGTAAAATTTGTAATGGAGAATTAGCAAGGTTTGAAGAATCATTGCTCAGCAGTTTATCGATCGATTTTAGTTCTATTGACATTTCGCTATGCTTTTTCAAACATTGCAAGTTTGGCGTTAAACATTTTACCGGAGGCATCGTATTAAGAAGATTAATAATTATCTTCACAACCAGCCAAAGTTACTTTTACTTTAATTTAGTTATGAGTATCCCATCAAATTGACGCTGGAACGTCGAGGGTCTACCAGTATAAGGAAGTATTGTTCTCCAATCCGAACTCGAACACGGACCGACGGTGATCATTGAAGGTGAACATAATTACAATGATGCATATGCCTGGCTTTCTCTCTATCTCTCAGCCTCCATCCCGCTCTCATAAAGACGACGATATTTATAATTTCCACCCTCCAGGCAAGCGGTTTGATTTATTTGGACAATAATTCCCATGTTCCCCGTGCCCAGTCCAAACAATCCGGAACGATGGACCGCCCGCAGGCGGAAAATTGCAGATTTTATAAACAGTTTACGGTTTGGAACTGAGCTGGGAGATGGGATCGGATGCTATCGAATATTGACTAACCACACAGGAATGCGTGCACTGTAGCTGCTACACGGCAACAAACTGAGAGAAATGTGTGTGTTTGGAAAACAACGCATCGCGCGTTCTATAACAAACATCCGGACTCATCATGTCAACCAGGATGCCCGGACCCGGACGAACAGTTTTGGGACGATGCTGGAGTAATTGTTGTACTTTATTATTGGAACCGAATACGCGAACGGATCGGAGCTCCATCTCTTGTTGTTCGACAGCCGCCTGCCTGTTGGCATCTGACAAATAGACTTCAATTAGAATTGTTAATTAGACCCATCCCCGGCTCGACAGCGGTGAACTTTGCGAGATTTAGCGGATTCGAGGTGTGGCAAATGTGTGCATATATTTAACCAAATCTATTCCGAAGAAACCTTCCCCTGAATGACGCGAGTGTGATACGACACAACGGTTGATGTTTGCTGGATCGGGCTAACGGTTACTCAATTAGATTGATAAATTCAAATGGCGAGAGAAATATTGGGCTTCCTAAAAAAAAACTTATGGTCCTTAAAATTTGAGTATCAGTACAAGACACTGAAGTAGTCTGCACATTGTAGACGAAATACACGTATCATCAAAAGCTATTGAAATCCCTGTGTACTCCGGATACCTGGTTCTGTGGATATTCTAATACATTGTTAACCTTCCATTTGGATATTCAGCCTGACCCTGATCGTATTTAACTATCATATCTCCGTTCGAATTTCACATATTCATGCCAAATAATATATTGTTGACCAGCTCAAGAACGAACAGCTGGATGATAGAATTGTCAAAAAATATAAAATAAACCATTCACTCACCGTCGGTTCCGACTTGGGTGGAATCGCCAGGGCACACCGCACCGCCAGCGTTATCAGGCAGGCTACGGCTAGCTTCATCCTCACTGCTCTACTACTTGCTGCTGCTGCTGCTACTACTACTACTGGTTGGAGTGAGATTTATGTCCAATTGCCAATTTGCCGGCAACCTACAAAACACTCAGCGGGCGGCTTCTCAGTTCTTCTTTCGCACTCTCCAAGAGCCGATGCGGCGTGGTTCGAAAATCCAATTCCTGCTGACAGTTTCGGTTTGATTTATTGCACTCCTATCATCTGATCGGATGGTAGCAGTAGCCTCAGTAGTATAATTTCTGTTTACACTCGCGCGCGCTCCAAGCTCTGCTGAACCGGTTCACTGCAGGCTCTCTCTCTCTCTCTCTGTATTATCACTGTTTTATATAGTAAACTGTAATGCACGGATCTCCGCCAACACCAGACGGCTTCTTCTTCTATTTCGATCAGATCAGCTGCAGTTGCACACTGCACTCTATGTGTGTAGTAATATGATATTCACAATGATGATTATTGCCACTGCTTATTAGTGCCGAAGCGATTTCACCCTTGAATTGATGATGATGCGTTCTTTACTTATATGCAAACAAGAGTTACTTTTCACACATCTTCGTCACTACTGATACAGCATCGCCATTCGCGTAGACCCACTCTATGTTCTACGACAACGAAGACGAGCAGTCGCACTCTCACTCAACGCAATATTTCATCTTAATACAAATTGACCTGATTTGATAATAAATTTATTTATTTGATTTTCGACTTCACCACTTCACATCCCTTCTTGCTGTCTGACTTGTGCGATACCACTGACTGGCGCGGTGCAACGCAAGTTCAACTGCTGTATTGACTGGTCAAGTACCGCGGTTTGATGACTTCATCGAAGTTCTGCTCGATAATTCAATCGCCGCATGAGGCAAAGACTTTCCTGAAGATTTACTGCGGCAAATCTGCGAAAAAAAAAACAAAAGGACAAAATCGGTAAGAATTAGAACACGCAAATGCAAATCACATTAGGGCGGGCTCGTGTGTAGATTCTTATTGTCATTGTTTCAATATGGGCACGTTGAAGAACGGACGGAGCTCGGTCCGAGGCGAAGAAGAGGCGAGAATAAACTCACACAATTGTTTCAATTATTAAACCCCATAAATTAACCGCCTATTTGTCCACGCGCGAAGTGCTGCCACAAGTGCATCTCTGGAGGATCGCATGCGGCGATGTCAAACTGGCGTGGGTTGCATTCCGCACAGATGCGTCTTACAGTGTTTTGATGACTTTTCAGAACATTGAATTTGAGCTCAGAGTCAAGTGAGGCGACGCAACGCGGCCTGTGGAAAGGCATGGATCCGGTCACGCGCGATCATCGCAGAAACAAAATAGTTATTCTCGGTCACTGAAAGATCAATCAATGCAAACTCTTCCAATCAGTGTGACGTAGAATAATGTCATAGTGAACACCGCGACCGAATGCGGATCAATAAAGACAATGTGTTGACACGTGTGACTTCTACGAGAAATCAAAGGACTGTTGGATAATAGAGTTTGCTGCAAGGATCGTTTTGGTAAATGGTAAATACGCTGAATTGAAGAGATGTGTTCCAGTAAAGATATGAAGCGGAGTGCCACCAATAACTCTATAATATAAAAGGGGTTGAACCCACGATCATGTGCTTAGTAAACAAAAACGGTCACCACTATGGCACCAAACCCCTCATATAGGGTGACCAGCAGGGTTACTTCCACTCACTTCGCTATAAAAAATGTTTTTCGGAATTATGGAATCATTGGATGCTATTATGAAAGTTTTTTCTTGTCAGAAACAAGAAGAGGTTGGAAGGTATGTATTTGACACATAAAACCTGTCAGTTTCGCTTTCAGTGCGTCACAATCAGCGAATTTATGACTCGTGAGCGTTCACTCAGAGTAAGTCACCTTATCTTGTGACTTACAACTACTAACTATTATTATAATATCTAATGATTTCATAATTGCGAAAAACAATTTTTATAGCAAGTGAGTGGAAGCAAGCCTGGTGACCAGTGAATTTTAATTTTGAAATTCCCGGTTTTCCCGGTGTGATTTAACAACAAATTCGAATACGAATCGGGTTCATCATCTCCTTTACCTTTTGTGGAGATGATCAACCCGATTCGTACCTTGCTCAAATTTGACTTTTGCAGGCTTTCTACATTCCGCAGCACGTGAAATTGACCTCTTCCGATTTTTTTTATTGGGTATCAAGCAGGAGCTGCGTGACAGCTTAATTTTCAAGACTTGACCCATTTGAATAAATTTTGCTTCTATCTTTGACAATACAGCAGAAGGACTAGCCTATGTTGGCCGCTTGAACACTGGATTCCATATGTATTGTTTCAAGATAGTTATAGAAAAAATGCTGTGACGTGTGCGCGTAGATACATCCGCGTAGTAAACCGATTGAGTAAGTAAATCCGTTTCGAACGAAATAGAAAAAAGGCTTATTATCATTTAAAGAGTGCCACCAAAATAAATGTGAGAGCCTATGTTGGCAAGTTGATTAATTTTGGTTTCCTCCCTAAATATTCTACTTATTTTACTGTTGAGCTTTGTTTCAATTTAGTTATTTTACCGCACGTATCAATCATTTCAAGATTTCGCGACCGTACCGAACTAATTCTATAATACAGAAGCTCAAAAAAAAAAAAACTTTTGGTGAGCTCTACTGCATTGCGAATCACTTCTGCGTAAGCTCCGTAGAAGTAGGCGCGTTGATTCCGACAGCCGCGAAAAGTTAAACATGCATCAATACCACATAAGGAAAGATCGATTTTACGTATGGTTTAGTTCATAGATTAACATTGACTGCTGTTTACTAATGTAAGAACTTGAACACTAATAAATAAGTTGACTCAAATGCTTTAACCGCATATATAAGAGATTTCGCGTATTGAGAGAATACTATAGTAATCGAGTACAACAAACTCAGGGGAATACAATACCTCCAAAAGTTTAAAAGCTATTAATTGTCACATACCTGTACTTTTGCTTATTTCCTAAACTATTCCTCTACTTGTTAATCTGCTAAATGCTATTGGTCTGCCTGCGTTTTCTTTTTAAAGTTCAAGACTAAATAAGAAGATTTATTCTACAACTTTAAAGGTTAGTTGCCTTCCTAAGCGGACCCCCCGCATCCTAATTCTTTTGTTAATCTACTTAATGTCATTAGACTTTCTGAAGTTTCTTATTTAAGTTCATTTGATGATTATGATCTCTCATTAGTCTAATTTAATAAATTATTAAAAGCTTTAATTCACCTAATCAAGCATAACCCATGCTTTATTAAGCACCTGCACTAATCTAAAATTAAACGTGGTTCAAGTACTTTTGATTTTGACCTATACCTATTTATTATATCTTGTTTCGACCAAGGTAACACCTTCATGTGACTAAAATGCTTCATTTTGAAGTTAGTTTCCTAGCTGATTTTTAAATTATATAGGGTGTATGCTCCAATTACGCTCTCACGTTTCCACTATGTCGTACCACAAAAATACATATGGGTATGTCACAATAGAAGCACACCACAGTGGAAATCTCGAGCCATAGTTCAAACACTTATCCCAAATCAAAATGAAGCACATATAAGATTAGTTACAATACCATGTACAAAAATGATGTTTAACATTGTTTCCTGAGTAATACTTAAACGAAAACAACAATGAAAGCTTGTTACGTAAATAGAAGGAGCACCGTTGGGCACTTTTTGAAATATTTCAATAGTATAATTCTCTTGCAAACCCAAATAAATCTATCTGCGTAAAAATAAATAAAATAAGAGTGATTTGCGGCAAAACCCGCCAGTATCACACCCAACGTCAGTGCCTATACGTAAGCGTACTACGACGCGGCTCTCAATTAAAGGAGTAACAAGTGTGATACTATCACTGCTAGACTAGATCTTTGGTTCTCTCATGCAGTGGTTTATCAGAGAGGGGAAGCTTAGTAATCCCCATTGCCTGCCCATGACACCATTCTATCGCGGCATGAGCCAGTAACGCCGGCCATAAACCTACCGTCTCCAACACTCCACTATAAAGCATGAAATTAAGACCGCCCACCAACAGCAAGGTGCAAAAACTAACCAAGGGGAGGGGTGAAATTGACCTCTTTCGATTTGGACCAACATTGGAGGAGATGTTTATTTTGGTTTAACTTTTATGAATCCAAATTTTAGTGTCGAATCGAAGCACCTGTCGGTCCAAGGGAGTATTTTTTAATAAAAAAAAAGAAAATCTAAATATGAATGTATTATTTTAGTACAGTGTTGGCAAATATTTAAATATTTCATATTAATTAAAACGGAATTTTCTCCAAATAAATACATTTAGATCTCCATTCTGATAGCACCATCGTGTTCCCCATACTTTTTTACCTAAGAAACACTTATCGACAAAAAGTCATTTTAATAAATATTTCCTGAGATACAGCATTTTGAAGTAAAGAATCCTAAAAATTATGAGAAAAAACATTTTTATCAATTTTATTTTCGCCCACTCTTCTAAGTAAAGGAACTCATTTTGCTCGCATACTACTTTTTTTTTGTAACTTCGCATCATAATACGGGTTTTTTCGTCATGCAGTTAAGTAACATAACGGCCAACTTTTCCTAGCTAAAATAATCGTGCGCAAAAGTAACTTATGCGAACTGTTTTGAATGTTGCCTTGCTTCTCATCTACCAACCGAGAGCTTGAAAAATTGTGACAGTAATATTTAATAGCCTACTGGATCAGAAAGTTTTGATCATACGTATGGACGTCCATATGTAGTTAATCTTGAAACAGCGTTCTATACAGATAGAAATAATTAAAACTCAAACGATATTTTCCATATTTCCAAAAAAATGTTAATGTTTTCAGAAGATAACTGCCCAATGAATTTTTAAATGGAGATTTTGTTCCCAAATGTATTTAATGTGTTTTTTGTTTGTTTCAAAATGTAGTTAATTTTATTTATATTGACGTAGCACTACGTCTGTGATTTCTATATGAGGGTACACTTTGTGAAAATCGAAAATGTAAAATGTAACAAAATTATGAAAGATTTTGAACGATAATAACTCAGCTGCCCCTGAACCAATTTCAATAATTTTATCACCAATCCATCAGAATAATTCCTACGCATTTGTTAAAATTAAGACTTTATCATTTTTCAAAATGTCACAATTGTTGCTATGCTAATTAAAATTATCACTAATTGCCTGCGAAAAGCGATTTCCCTAACATAGATTTCAAAGTTGAATTCTCACCAAATGGTGTTTATTCAATCACCGTGTGGTGAGTGGTGGTGTTCTCCAGTACACAACGAATGGCTCCCCGCAAGCAGCTAGCTATCAAAGCTGGCCTCAACCGTTGATCGGATTCAATTCCAATCACGGTGTGTGGTGGTGTCCGGTCGTCGGCATCAGCAGCAGCAGTGCTTTCGGCACGTGGCTTTGAACATTGTTCTCCAGTACACAACAAAAGACTGCCTGCAAGCAGCGAGCGGGAGCCCACATGAGCATCCATAGAAAGAGGAAGAAACCGCACCGCTATTGATCGGAATCAGTAGCTCTTCGTGAGTCGCTGTGAGTCATCTATACCAAGCGCGTCACCCGCATTCCAAACAACATACCGTATGCGTGATAATGTTTGTACCATCGTACAAATAAGGTTCCCGTTTCACCTGTGCTTACAATGCCTTGATTTTCTTTGCATGCACGTAACCTATAGCTCATATCGTAGTAGGCTGTGAAAATGATTTACTGTGTATTCGTGATTTGTCCCACGCGCAAATGTTGCAAAAAGACATTTCAATCGCCGTGGGAGTGTCCCGGTGGATCGTCAAAAGGGTTTTAGACCGAGAAAAGAAAGGACAACTATCCGCGAAGGTGGCCACAGGTCGTCCGAAGTCAGCTCGGGTTCCGAGGGTTA